GGCCGCCGTCCGAAAAGCGGGGCGACGGGCTCGTCCCAAAGCGCGTCCGCGTGTGGCCTGTGCGCGGCCCCCACACCTCATCTCGCCCGCGCAGCGGCTCGGGAGCGGGCAGCGGCCCGGGCGGCCGCGGGCTCTAGGTGAACAATTCACACCCCCGCGCACAGCCGGGCAGGCACACGCACACGGACACGCGCGCGCACGCACCGGCGAGCACACAGGCAGGCAGGCACACGCAGGCAGGCACACATGCCTATGCGCAGATGCACACAGACATGCAGCACACATGCACACAGGCATAGGCCTGCACACATGTGGGCACACAGACGCATGCAGCTGCGGATGTACGTGCACACAGCCGTGCACAGGCATATGTACGTGCACGCACACATGCATATGCACAGATGCACATGCACACAGACATACACACACGGGCACACAGCCATGCACACACACAGAGACAGACGCACACATGCACATACATATGCACAGACAAGCACATGCACGCAGGCATGCGCACACAGGCACACATGCACATGCATGCACATAGATATGCACATGCACGCAGACAAGCACACACACATAGACACAGACTCACACAGCACATGCACACAGACACACATGCATACGCACAGGCACGCACATGCACACACACACGCAGTGGCAGAAATTCCTGGCTCAGCTGGCACAAAGCACCAGCGCTCCCGCAACCCAGAGGAGGCAGGGAGCTCTGTGGCAAAGGACACAGGAGAAGCCGGGAGTCCACCTGCACCAGACAAACGGACCACGAAAAGCATCAGGACAATGCTGCGTGGGGCTCCGGCTCCCATCCGAAAACCAGCGGCTTGCCACCACCTTCAGGTCTACGTGGGCTTTTACGCAAGGCCGAACCCTCCCTCCCCTCCAAGGACCCCTCTGCCCGTGGCAGCCATCACCCAAGAGAGGCAAGCAAGGCAGCAGGACTCTGGAAGCCTACCACCTTGTTGCCCAGCCTCCCTTGCCCTTCCCTCCTGGCTGTGCTCTGTATTTAGGACCTTCCCTTTGTGCTTGAACGTGGGGGCCCATTGTGTCCGAGTCCCCCCAAAGGCAAACCCCCTTCAGGGCTGCTTTAGCAGAACTGCTGTGGGCAAGTCGCACAAGGGGGTTGCTCTGCTCTGTCCAGCACAGCTGAGGCCCCAGCAGGAAGACGGCCCTTGGCGCCACCCTTTACAGACGATGTCAACAGAGTCCAAGGGAGGGGAAGAAAATAGAAAAAGGCTTAGAAAACTTGGAGGGAAGGTGGAGAAACGGGGCTTGTTTGGCCTCACAAAGAGAAGACTGGGGGAGCCTCCAGTACACAGACGGTTGCTCTAAAGAGAACAGCAACCAATTGTTCCCCCATGACCGCTGGGAAACGACAAGGAGAATGGGTCCATTTTGCAGCAGAGGTTTCAGAGGGATAACAGGAAAAGCTTTCAAACCATTAGGAAAGCGAAACACCAGATCAGACGCGCCGGGGAGGCTGTGCAATCTGCTGTGGTGAGGGCAGGTTGGCCAGGCAGCGCTCCGGGCTGCTCCGGGCACAGGGGCTGGCCTCCACAACTTCCTGCGGTCCCTTCCAGCCCCGCTTTCCCAGAGTCCGTCTCTTCACGGGTCCCTCAGACCTCCCTCCCCACAGCTGCAGGGCCGGATCAGCTCTACTGACCCCAACGGGATCAGCCGCCTGCCGCCCTTAGCCAGCCCACGCTGCTGCATCAGAGCGGGGAAGGGGGGCCCTGACTTAGGAACCGCACAACGGGGCGCGGCCAGCCAGATGGGAGGCGGATGGGGTGACTCAGGGTCATGCTGGCTGATGTACAGGGTACTGCTTACATCGCCCAAGTGAGTCACTCTGGGAGCCTGCATACCCCCTGGAGCTGGGCCAGTGTCTAACAGCCACCATGGCTCCAGGACATGGTGTTATTAGAGATCAGAGACTTTCAGGCATCTTGCCCCCCCACCCCACACACACACCCATCCCCTCTGTCACAAATCCCCCCCAACCATTTCCTTCCCCTCTCTTATTCCAGGGTCCTTGCCTTCTTGGACGCTCCCTGCTGTGCCTAGAGCCATCCCCTGTCTTCCTCCCACCCCTCTTTATTATTGCCATATTTACAGGAGTGCTGTGAGGCTCTATTCAAGGTCAGACCGTCCCTGGGGCCTCAAACGTCTCATGTTCAGGATGGAGTTAAAGGCTGGGAGGACAAGAGAGACTCAGAGATATACAGCAACTTGTCCAGGCTCACGCCACCAGCAAACAGGCACAGCACTCAGGCTTCCTGGCTCCCAGGCCACTGCTCTATCCACTGATTTCCCCATCTTTGCTCTTCAGTTCTACAGTCCTGTCGTCTCCTGTACTATCCGAGAAAAACAGGGCTGGGAAAAAAAAAAAAAAAAAAAACACAGGAAGCCATCCGGTCCCGTCCTTGGTTTTAAGACATCTAAACCATCCCAGGCAAGTGTTTGTATAACCTGATCCAGTGACAGATTCCCAGCCCTGTAGGTTACCTCTTCCAGCGCTCAACCATCCCGAAGTCAAACATGCTTCCTACTGTCCAACCTCAACCGGCTCAGGCTGCAGTTTCAGCCCATTAGATCTGGTCCTGTGCCGTGTGGACGCAAGAGAACAATTGATTGCCTTTCTTTTTCTAACAACCCAGTTGCATTTGCAGACTGTTATCAAATCCCACCGTGTTAGCCTCTGTCTCGCCTCCATTCATTATTATTTTATTCATCTGATCACAGTGCCTAGAAAGGCCAGGTCCCCACTGTGCTGTACACACTCAGAAAGCAAAGAGAGAGCGCCTGCCCTGAACAGCTTACTAGTCTAGGGTCAGAGGCAACAGAGAAGGAAGTAAAAGCCAAGTCTAAATTAAGCTGCAGCTAGTTCAGGAAATCGCCCCCTCCATTTGCAAACAGCTTATATCACCCTGAAATATTTTTAATCACCATCACCTCCTTAAGGTCATTAAGATTTAATGAGAGACATGACTTTCCCCCATGGAAAGCAGAAGACATCAAGTCCACTGGGTCCCTCCCTGGCCAGCTTCTCAAAAGGCCCCTCTGGGAGCACCTGCAATTGTAGGCTGAGGGTTGTACAAAGGTGCCTTTGAGCAGAGCAAGGGGAGGAGAAGGGAGGTCTTTCCTTGCCTGCCCGTTGGTTTGGGCCACCCTTGGGAAGAAGGTGTGTTGTGTCTGTACACAAGTCAGCTGTGCCTACGCTAGTCCCCGGGGACAGATCCTTTCAGCACATCCTTCGGAAAGGTAAAGAACGTGTGACCAGCAAAGAGAAACAAAAGACTGGCAGCAAATGGAAAAAGCTCACCCCGTGAACCCTTCCAGACAAGCACACGACACCGTCCCGCAGCCAGCAGCTACTGCAGATGGAGCGGATGAGGCTGATCTCCAGCAGGTGTGGACAGTCGCTTGCGCGCCTGGGAAACTGCCTGGAGAGCTGCCGACCTGGGATTTCTTCTTCCTTACCACACCCACGACACAGCGAGCAAAGTACAGGGGATACGTCTGGGATCGACCGCGTGTGAGCATTTCCTGGGAAATTCACTGCTAGGTCTTCTAAAATACCCCTCTTATTCCTGTGCCAGACCAGTAACTGCTGGTCTGTCGGCTCCTTCAGGCAGGGGAGGGGGCCCGCTTCGCCAGGTATGAAGCACCTGCCACAGCCACGGCTGTTACAGAAATAGCACTGGGCCAACCCATTCGCTCAGTGCCCGGAGCGGGCACGGACTGGGGGTAGGGAGGCCCTGGAGCAGCTTTTGCTCCATTTCAACAGAGGCGCAATTCAAAAAGCATCCAGCTACGTTAACCCAGAACCAGCCCTGCTTTGCGCTTCGTGCTTCTAACAAAAAAGGGTCATTTCCCAAACCGCCCCAGCCAGGCCTGAGCCTACACCTTTTAAAAGCAGCAGCTGTGTCTAGCAGGAAAGAACAGCCCCGCAGCGGTGTGATGAAGCATCAGCGCTGTTTGTTAAAGCATCTTCCTGTCCCCGCAGGGGGTGTGTTGAATTGCTTCTTCCCCTCTGAGGAGCCTCCTGGCATAGCGGAGATCTCCACTTCCTCCCTCCCTGCAAAACAGGGGGGAAATGAGTCTGTTCCCTGGCCTGGTCCCTTGGCTGCTCTGCTGAGCCATGTGCAGGCGGCACAGCTGAAGGCAGCAGCACCATCTGCCGGGGAAAGGGAGCCGTGCCTCTGCACCCCGTGGGAAGAGAAAAGGTCTAGGCCACTGCCGCAGCACCGAGCCCACGGACAGCAAAGGGTAAGGCGGCACAGATCCCCAACCCCACAATGCACGTGCTAACACACCCCCGTTTGCTTTTATCCACTCACAGCAAAAGGGACCCCATTGCGTCGCACCCAGGACTGTGCTGAGAACTGAGTCTCGTGACACGGATGGTCCCTGCTCCAGTTGTTGTTTTCTGGGGACGACCAGGTCCTTTCCCTGCAGCAAGCCCGGTACAGCCCAGCCTCCGAGCCTATACACGGCAGCTGTTTCCCCTGCAAGATCAACCCCCCCTCTTTTTACTGCTATTTTTATTATTTTATTTTTTTTAAATTAAGCAGGGAAGGGGCACCAGCAGTGCCAAGTCTGACGCGTGTCGCTCTCATCCTCCTGCTCCTTTGTGCTAGGATTTGGGGCTCACTGCCTGCTGTTGCTTCTGCAGCTCCAGAATCCGGATCAGAACCAGGCATGCAATCCCCAGGAAAAGCAGCCAGATGAAAACCCAGTAGTACTGGGGCAGACAGATCCACAGCCTGCAAAGCTCCTTCCTGGACCCTCTGGACCTGGCAAGAAGAAAGTTAAGAGACTCATCGACTGAAATAGAGCAGCTGTCTTGATCCTCCTTCCTGGAGCGAAATACCCAGAGACTGGAAAGGGCACAGAAAAGGAGCTAGTTTCTGCATGGCCTTTAAACTGACCCCGCCAGCCTCCCCCCCTCCTCATGTTCAAAGTAACACCTAAACTCAATGTAAATGAGAGATGCCGATGAAAAGAAAGCTTTCCTGTCCCCTCTGGTTCCTTCTAGCATCTCACAGCAGGCTGCCTACAGTGCTTTACAGCAGGTGATAACAGACCTGTTATATAGATGGGCAAACTGAGGCAGAGCTGGGAAAAGAACCCAGAAGTCTTTGCTCCATCTCCCCCTGCTTCCGTGGCTGTATACGCTGCCTCCCAGAGCTGAAACAGAGCCCAAGCTCTGACAGAGCTTCCTGCCTCCCTGGTCCATGCATCACCAGAAGTGTACCCGGCTCTCGGGTCCCTGTCCCAAGGAGCTTTACACTATGCCAGAGGGATGCGAGACCTGGGATAATGTGATCTCTTTTATTAGCCCAACTAAATAGTTGGGAAAAGGGTCTTTTGCAAGCTTTCGGGCACAAACACCGTTCTTCAGGCACTGGGAGGCTCTGCTGCTGCTCTGTGTCCTCCAAGGAGCAGCAGTCTCCCAATGCCTAAAGAAGGATGTTTGTGCCCGAAAGCTTGCAAAGAACTTTTTTCCAACTATTTAGTTGGTCTAATAAAAGAGAGCACATCTGCCCAAAGAACCTTGCCTGCCTGTGTCCTAAGACCAACACGGCTACAACCAACAACCCTGTAGACCTGGGATAAGGCATGCAAGAGCCTGGGGAGGAGATGGACGCTGCAGGGTTCAAAGAAGCAAAGGCAGCCAGATGTGCACCAGCTCCATCTCTCCCGTGGGTGCTGTTGGCTACAGAAACGAGCATGCCAGAGCCACGCACAGGCTAGCCTGGCTGGCCTTGACCTGGCCACTGGATAACTGGATTCTCCAGCTTCCAAGGGATACCACGTTCCCTTCCTCAGCACGTGCTGCTGTGTGACTAGCCACCAGCAGCTGCGCCCCTGCCCAGAGGTGGATGCCGATGAGGGAAGGGGCTGGAGCGCATGTCACCCATGAAGGCTCTGGGCTCCAACACAGCCCAGGGTCCCACGTGAGGACGAGGCAGTTAGCTCACATCAGACTGAGCTGCTCCAGCTCCTCGCTCAGCCCCCCACTGTCCGACTCCTTGCTGGGCTCCTGCTTCATGCTCTGGCCGGCACTTCTTCTTCTCCGCAGCTCAGGCTCGCTCCTGGGGAGGAAGATGCAGCAGGGGCCGGTCAACAGCAGTGCCCCCTGCCCCAAGCACCCTGGATGAGCACCCTGTCTGATACGGGGAAAACTGCACCTGCCCCAGCCGGCCCCGGGGGTGCAGCCCAGGGGAGCACTCAATACATCCTTACCCTTCGGCACGGGGGGCTCCTGCCCCCTGAGGCTGAGCGCTGTCCATGCCCTCCAGGCTTTGATGCAAGGAGCTGGAGGGGCTGACGTGCAGGATGAAGCACTCGTCGGTGGAGTCCTCCTGGAGGCAGCAGCGTTGCCTGCACAGCAGAAAGGAAGCAGTCATGCCCCGAGCTGACGTGCCTCTGCCTGCCTTCCCCACGGTGGAGCCGTGGGGTCCATCCTTTCCATCTCCCCGGGGCTCTGTGGGAGGGTCACGGTACCTCTCTGCACTCAGGGTGCTCTCCCCTCCCAGCTTCCCTGCCTCATCCTTGGGTGCTTGCCCGTTTTCTTGGCTTTGAACGTGCTGCAGACAAAACCGAGGGAGGGCACGAGTGAAACAAAAGCGCAGGAGAGAAACCCGGTGCCCAGAGCGCTGTGAGCGCATGGTGCAGAGCCCAGGAACCAGCGTGGGGGCTGTACAAGACACAGGCACCCCGTGCACCTGTGCCAGGCGTCTGTGACTGGATTGCTTACCAGCAGCTGCTTGGGGATGACGGCGATGCTGACTCTTCGGCGAGCCGACACCTGGGACACAAAGGAGGGCACTTGGTGAGAGCAAAGCCCCTCTCCCCACTGCTCCCAGAGGGGTTTAGCTTTTCACTCCCTGCCCATAGTCTGCGAGGGCCCTGCCATCCTCCTGCCCTGCCTTTCGCCCCTCACCACTGTAGCATGGGGTGGGATGCTGCTCCCACCGGTGCCAGGGGGGTGGAAGAGCCTTCCCTGGGCTCTAGACGGGGCATTAACAGGATTTTCTGGTCAAAGCTGTCTCTCTGCTGGAGAGGAGATGAAGACCGAGGCCTGAAAGTCCCTGCTGCCTCACCCCCGCAGCCGCCCATGTGCCGGGAATCTCAGATTTCACCAGGGGCCTGTGACAGCCCCGCTTGGACCCCCGATGGGCCTGCCCCAGTGCTGGCCAGCTCCCCCACCCCGTCCCCTACCTTGTGGGCTGCAGGGGAATCGCTGCTGTATTCGAACTGACACTAAAGAGCAGCCTCCTCTGGGGCCAAGTCCCTCTGCCTCCTGCTCCCTGACCCTGCAATGCAGAGGACCTGCCTGAAGTCTATGGTCTAGCAAGGCTTGGTGGATGCAGGGTCGGGCTAGAGAGCTGGGGAAGGGGCCGGCTCTCCCTCACCTGCTGGAACGTCCTCATCAGGGGATGCCTCAGCCTCTGCTCTGCATCGTCTGAAGGAACAAGGAGAGGGGATTGCTCTATGTAGGGACTGACTTCTCACACCCAGAGCAACCAGGCCCTTACTGCCCCCCAGCCCAGCCATCCAGCCCAGCCTGCTGCTTTGTTCCCCAGGCTGCACAGCCCTTCCCCAAGCACATCAGAGGCTCGGCATAGCTGGAGCAGAGGACAAGACTGGGCTGGCGTCCCATAAGCCCAGTTGCTTTGACCATCATAGCACAGGTATCTCGTGAAGAAAATGGCAGCTCAGCTGGGAAGCCCCTAAGGTCTCCTGGGTCATGGCATGGGGAACAGGACCAAAGACCCACAGAGACATGTCTATGCCTCGAGACAGGCATCCTGGGGTGCACGCCCCGCTCTCTGCATTCCCAGCTATGCCCTTGCTGCCGGGAGGGCATCACCAGCACCTGTGGGCAGAGCAAGTCTGCTCCAAAATTTCCCCATGGCGCTTATGCCCTGACTGCAGCCCCCCTCACAGCCATACCCTTGGAGTCACTGGATGGGGACAAGGATAAGCAAATCCCCTGGACTCTAACGTGTCTCCAGGGCTGGAGCCAACTCACAGGCCTCACACACAGTTCAGGACCCTGCCCCAGGCTTCCCGGTGATGGAGCCAGGGGCAGGATCCAGCCGTGGCGACTCCCGACCCTGCTCTCTGACCACCGCACCTGCTGAGTGCCAGGCCCCATCCACATCTCCGCACCCCTGGGTGCTGCGCCCACCTCACCCCTGTTCTCGGCCAGCTGCCGGTTGCGGGAGTTCTGCTGGATCAGCCGCTTCATCTCCTCCAGCTCCGCGTGCTCCCGCAAGTGATGCCTCTTCAGGTTCTCCACGTGCTGCACCATCACGTCCGTTGCCCGGCTCATCCGTGCCTCCTGCCACAGAGAAAACACGTGTGTGGGGGGGGGTGTCACACTGGGGGCACAGGCAGGGCTGCCCTCTGTCCTACTCAGGTGCTTACACTGTGCCCACCATGGTGTCTGGGGGCACGTAGGGATCCACCACTTGCCATGGCTAATGGCAGCAGGAGCAGACCCTTTTGAAGCAAGCAGCCCAGCCCAAAGGGGCTCTGATCAAACAATCCAAAGACCTCCAGAAAGTGCTCGCTCCCCCTCTTCTCACACATGGGATAAGACGTCCCCGAGCCCAAGCCTGTCACTTCACCCGACACATACTCCCCTGGGTGCATTTGTACTTAGAAGACTTGAGCATCTCCATGGGACAGGTTAACCAGGCCCAGGAGTAAGTGGCAGGAATACAAGGGTCCAGGTGGCAGCAGGGACAGGGGACCAGAGGGAAGCTAGCTGGACAGAGGAGTGGCAGGGACACCACTAGTAGACAGGGAGCTGAATCTGCTGCTAGGAGGCTTGGTGGACCGGCCTGCTGGCTGGTGAGGACAGGGGCCCATGGAGCCCAC